TATTATTATTATTATTATTATTATCAATATTGATATTATTAAAATCATCATCATTATTCATAGCCAGCCTCTTAACTTCAACAACAAACGTCTTCATCTCAAATGTTATATTTTTGTAAACTCAGGGACAAAGTCGAGGACAAACTCATGAAATTCGAGGAGACAAGTTTCGCAGAACTGCGCAGGCTCAATGACCAAATGATCCAAGTAGAGAGAGCTTTCATCCATCCCTACGGCCTGCCAGAAAGACGCCTGGTCCGTCACGTGATCTTCGCTCCCAGCAAGTATGACTTGTATGGTGCTTCTAGTTTTCCCGGTGTAAGTGATATCCTCTTCAAACTCGACGAGACCAAAGATTATGCCGAGGTGGATCGCCAGATATCGATCGCCAGACAGGCTATACTGGGAGCTGTTGATATCTTGACTCTCATCAAGAGTGGGTGATTGACATTTCTTTCTTTCGTTATAGTTTCCTAGCTAGACTCATCTCATTCTCTTTTCCTTTTTCCCTTTGGAGAGGGCCTGGAGCGTATCCACCCCAATCCTCCGCTGACAGGAGAAAGGGAATGTGTTCATAGGCAGTATTAGCATTTATCTACCAGCATCTTATCACAAATGCCGCGACAGTCTCGTTCACAGCACTATTCGCCATCTATTTCGTGATTGACAGGGGATAAAGTGAATAATCTTAAATAAAAAATGAGTAATTTCACATCAACCTGTTTAGTATATCACTACAGAGGTTTTGCACAGCAGCCATGTTGGATGGCAGGAACAACGAAAATATTTTGCATAAGAAAGAAATTTTTTTCCCATGGGTAAAATAATCTATTGTTCCTGCCATCCAACATGGCTGCTTTGCAAAACCTCTGTTCATTAAAACATAAGCTTTTTTTCAGGGACGGGGGAGCTGGGAGACTGGAGAGGCTTTAGCCGCCTTTACCTTTTGCGAGGACATGTTATTTTGTTTTAGTATGAGGTATGTCTGAAAATTAAAAAAGAGTCAAAGAAAGAGGAAATATGTCCAGCACACCAAAGATTATCCCCTCGAGATCAATATTTCAAAGTTTTCTGGGGGAGGCTCAGACCCCGCTACAAATTCACGCCCCAGCGCTTGTTTTTAACCCCCCCTCAACCCCCCCTTTCTACTCCAGTTGAAAATGGGCTCCGCCATTCCTGGTCTTTGTTTTAAGTTGTCATATTATAAAAAATTACTGACTTAAAGACATAAAGATTTGTAACAACTATATCTTGTTACTGTATTGTTACTATCTGTGGCTTATGAGCCTTCGTGTGGCCAGCAGTCTGATATTAGCTATTTGCGGATCTGGGGGAAGGGCACGGGGAGTCCGCCTCCCCTCCCTTATTCTGGGAAAAAAAAGTAAACGCGGAGGGAAGAAAAGCCGGCAGTTGAACACACACAAACAAAACCCCCGCCGCCCCCCTTAAATCAAGGTCTGGATCGCCACTGGTAACGACGGCCAACTTGTTGCTGTGAGTTAGACTAGAGATTTAAGGTGATTAAAACCTGACTTTCAGGTCAATCTACTCGTTCACTTTTATCACACAAGTTTTGAAGGACTAAATAGATGGCAATAGTTGATACGGACTTCGTCCTCTTTGAAGATAACACTCTAGTAATGTCGAGCACATGATCAAACTGCTCATTATGTGTTTTGTATATTCAAACATTGCATTCATCATTTTTGTTAGAAGTGATCTTACAAAATTTGTTAATGGTTTTTCACTAACTTTCTAGGCGTTGTTGATGTTGAACGCAATATGGAGAATAAGTATAACTTATCATCATTCAATAACTCGTTCCGCAGTATATTTGCATATTTGTCGCCAAACATGACTTGCGTCATATCTTTCGAGTAACTCGTAAGTAATCCAGCTTCTATTTCATTGGTAAATAATGAAGTCCGGACCTTTCCTAATGCTGCAACGCAAACGAATAAAGCTTCAAGTGTATGTATTGTTTGTCAAACTTTGCTCTTATTTGCTCATGATTTTATTCATTGATTCAAGCCTTTTTCTTTTCCAGCACCCGTTATCAAATTAATTCCAACTCTCGCAATACACGACATAGTAAGAATTTATCTTAAAAAAAGCTAACAAAAGCTGATAAATACCCCAACATTAGAGGTAAAGCTTTCAAATCACACAGAGTCGCACACTCCCCTGCCTAATGATCGTTTTGGCGGTAAAGTCTTCTCGTCAACTTCAGCAATATATATATATCTTATTAACCAAGCGCGAGGGCCGTACTGGAAGAGTATCAGCCCGAGGTCTTGACAGTACGGACCGAGCGCAGCGAGGTCCGTACAAAAAAGACAGAGGGCCGATATTCTTCCAGTGCGGCCCCGAGCAAGCTTAGTTAATAAGAGATTTATTATACGACTGAAGTTCAAAGGGACAGAAGTGCAGTATCATTCGGGACCATTCGGGACAGTGCCCGGTCCAATACTGAGAGAATATTGACCGGCAATAGAGCACTTTGATTGGTTGATTTTAGTTATTGGCCCTCTGACTGCCCGAGTCGTGTAATAATTTAAGACTAGGTTTACACTGGAGGAGAGTTTTCCGGATTCGTAAATGTTTCCGGATTCATTAATTTTGGAGTATTCGGATTCGTAGGCGTTTACACTGAAAGGATACTCGGATTCCTAACCGTTTACACACAACGACAACTCCGGGAACATTCGAAATGGAATGGTTACCAAGCCCAGTGTTGTTTCGTCGTTCGATCGACAAAGTGAAA